TGTTTCCTTAATCCGTAGGGTGCATGGAAATTTGGTTGTAACTTGAGTAGGCATCCATGAAGCTCAACAACTCGTGCCCATGGTGAAGTCCACGAGTTGATCTATCTTTGGGAGGAGGAAGCTATCCTTTGGACAAATTTGGTTGAGGTTGGAAAAATCTATATAGACTCTCAACTTGCCACTGTGCTTCTTTACTAGAATCGAGCTAGAGATCCACTTTAGGTAAGTGGCCTCTTTGACGAAGCCATTACATATTAGCTTCTTCATCCCCTCATTTAGAGCTTTCTGCCTTTCTGGGTTGAGGGCCCTTATTTTTTCTATACAAAGCAACCTTAGGATCAAATTTTAGGTGGTGGCAACTAATCTTTAGATCAATACTCACAATGGCCTCGTATCTCCAAACAAAGACATCCAAATTCTTGTGTAGAAAGCTTTTAAGCTTCTTTTTGGCCTTGGGTGGTAGATCATTTCCCATTTGTAATTCTTTAGTTGAGTTTTAAGAATCCACGAGAAAACTCTCCAGTTAGTTTATTGCAAATGTTTTTTAGTTGAATGCGAGGGTCCAACTCATCAATGATGGCATCTTCTTCAGAGGGTTTGCCTTCAAGGACATCTTTTCTTCAAGGAGCATCTCTTCTTCAGGTGCATTAATCATTTCAATGCTTTCCTTTGTTAAGAGGATTGTCTTTCTTTAAGTGTGTAAATCATTTTGGCATCAAACAACACCATGTTGATGTCTTGTGGTTTTGCCTTCCTAAGGGGGTTCAAATAGCATCGTTGTCCCCATCTGATCACCTTAATTGTGGTGATACCATGTTCTATTGAGAATTTCATCCACAATTGATGGATGGAGATGATGGCCCATAACTTTTTCAGAGTGGGTCTTTCTAACACTTCATGTTAGGCAGATTTGTTATCCATGAAATGATCTATTGTTTGAGGTAGCATGCCCATTTCTACTACGAGGTAATAATCTACCTTGAAGCTATCTTCAGTAAACTTAGACAAGAGGGAGCTTATAAGGGTCAGCTCATAATCTATTACCATTTCGTCATAGCTACTAGAGCTTTCATTACCTACTTGATTGAGCTTCAATCCATTGTGTGTTACTACCACCCTTACTTCAAGGAATCACAATAGAGATAGCACTGACCTAAAACATCATCCTGAGCAAAGGTGATAAGTTGAACATGTCTTTCCCCTTGAGGGTTGTTATTAAGTTTAAGACCCTTAAAGAATATGTGTATCTCCTGAATAGTACGCTATCTATGTTTGTTAGAGGTCTATTCTCTGTCTAGGCTCATTTCTTGGCCTTTCTCTATCATCTTTTATATAACAAGTGTAAACATCACTAGGAGGTCGCCTTGCTTCATTTCACATGGATTGTTGCTTTACCTAGGTGAGGAGAAATTCTCTTGCGAGGGATGATTGTCTCTTCGATTAGCTTGAGAGTTATTTCACTCAAAGTATAGAGTTATGCCTGTACAATCTATTGTATCATGGCTATAGGAATAATAAAAGTATAATAGAGGGGAGCAGCAGGCCTATTCTTAGGTTCGGTACTTCGACCTCAACCTTTTCCTCTTTTGTGGGCCAGTTACCTTGATTATCTTGGTCGTACATTATTACTATGATCAACATCTTCGTAAGCTAGTGTTGCACAACGTTCAAGGTGGTCGTGGCAAACGCTTAGCCTAAAGTGGGAGCAAGCATGTGGCTCACCTGGTTCCGCTGGTGGTTCACCAAAATTATAGGTAGGACCTCTTTCTTTTTGTCTTTATGAGGGTGAGAGCCCTGTGGCGGCTCTGTTGCGATAATCAATCAATTTATTGATGATCTCACGTTGAATCATTTCTACCAATACATCATAACTGGTAGGGTTTTGATTTTGTAAATCCTTCTAAAAATGAGATATTCATGTTAAGATCTCTCCTTAGGGTTGAAAGGGGCTCTCTTTCAATGATCTATTCACAATAAGTCTTCTAATCGATGAAACGAGCCAAGAAACCTTTTAGCATCTCACCAACTTGTTGCCTCACATGTTGAAGACCTTGGATAGAGACTCTACCTTATTTGCTAGCTGCAAGGCACCTTTAGAATGCTTTCTTGAAGTTAGGCCTGCTCCTAATGGTTCCTTTTCGTATCCTGCTATACCATACTTCAGCAGCTCCACTTAAGGTCAAGTGGAAAGCTCTACATTTTACCACTGGTGAAGCTCCTCTCAAACTCATGTAAGTTTTGTAATTGTTGAAGTGCTTTGCTGGGTCACCTCTCTCCTCGTACTTAGAGATCTTTGGATGTACAAAGTAGCTTGGAAAAGGAGTATCCCTCAATCCTCTCAAGAATGGCACATTATCATCATCATCTAAATCACAAGACTTTTAAGGCTCATCAAAATCTTTCTTCAACCTTGTACATGGGAGAAAGCTAAGACTGAATGGTTTCTCATGTTCTTTTTATCTTTTCTTTGATGCCTAATCCTAGACGAAAGGGCTTGCATAGCTTAGTTGTGCATATGCTCATGTGTCCTCGCAACAGAAGGCAGCTATTGAAGCTCATTTGTAGCATTGAAGATGGCTGGAATGACCTATTTCTAGGGTTCCCATGTTAATCCTGTTAAAGACTAATTGATCTTTGAGGTCTATGGTTAGGCTCATATTTAGGAGAAAAGTTATCCTCCATATTGAATAGAGCATTGATAGGTCAGCCAAATGCGTAGTTCAACGAAATGTCCACTCCTACCTCCCTTTCCAAGAGGTTAGCATCTCTTTCTTGTCAACAAGATGGAGCGCCCTTTGGCTCTGACCTTCATCTTCTTCTTGAGGAGAATGATCTTTTTAAGGTACAAAATGGGTTGATTGTTGACCTACCTGACCTTGCATTGACATGAGGAATTGTTGCATGATGGCATTTTTCAATTAATGTTCCTCATGTTGGCAACAATAGTGGCCACTTCCCAGGTGAGTGGGTAACAACTTTCATCCTATATCATATGTGCTGGTGGTGAGGTCGATGATGACCGATTGGGTTATATCTCTGGGAGACCCTTTCTACATGGGCCTTCCTACCCTTCTAGATAGGGCTTCTTCACTACTTGAGCTTAGTTTTCCTAGGCAGCTCTTTTCTTCAAAGAGCTGGGGGTCTTATTAGTGGATTTCTATCTCCAATTATTCCTTTTTCACGGAATATCAATAATCCAGGCATCGTCAAGTTGTTCTTTATTCAAGAACAAAACATTTTTGAAAAGGAAAGCCAAGTAATATTCCAGCAAGCTTTTTTCAAAGGGTTTACTAGTGTTTTATAACGTGACTTTTTACAAACGATGTCAATTTGTTCACCTCGTTTTTTGTATCGATGATATGGACAATAATCTGGCTCCACTTATGTCTACGCAAGCTTGCTCTTACACTTGGACTAACCATTAATTGCACATTGTCTTCTCCGATGGCGATGAAGACGACCGCGATTACTCCGACGATCAAGTATATCAGGGAAATAATATATTTAAGTATGGGACGTGCTTTAGACTTGAGCTACTTAGGTGTTTGGACACAGAGGATATGTATGCGAGTATGTACAATATGGGAAAGAATAATCTTACAAAGCTCTTGGTAAATAAAATTGCATTATCCTAAATTTATACAATGTGTGATCTTTTATAGTGCTTTGGATAAAGCGCTGGCAGTTAAATGGAGAAGTACGTGGCTTTATCCCAATGGCTGGAACGTCACTTCGCAGGCATCACGTAGAAAATCCTAAGGTCTGTGGCATTCAATATTGTCTGAAAAGTAACCGCTCTACAACCTAGGTCTGTGCACTTAGGTAGTAGGCTAACAAGACCTGATATTTATTTGCTGCAGGACATCACGTCAATGATTTTCACCAAATCTATGTGCAAAAGATCTCTTGGGACATGTATACGTAGGAGATGCTCTTCAGTGGCTATGAGGTATCTTATTCAGTAATGTGGGCTTCGGCCATGTATGTTGTGCCTCAGATAAAGCAGTTAACTACCTCTCTAAGTACTTACAGTAGGAGGCGTCTTTGTTTCGATTTGAGCTTCCCCTTTTTAGCTGAAGTACCTCCACTTCGTCACTTTTGTCCACGTGGAGTTTGACCCTTTGTTATGCTTCTTCCTTGATGCCACATGAGCTCTTTATTGAGTCTCGGTAGCGAGGCGTAATATTATGTTTTCCATCCAATGGTCATCAATATATAGATGGAGACAACATGTGAATCATGAACATAATGAATGCTAAAAAAACACAGTTTTTCACCAAAATCTTGAATTATCGACTGGCCCTATGCATAACCAAGAAGTGCAGGTCTTAAGAGCTTGCAAGTCGCAGATCAAGAACCTATGGCCTTGGGTCTTGCCTTCCCAAAGTCAAGTCCGTCTTTGTTCTTGAAATTTTGTTCTACCATCTTTCCACTTATTATTTCTCATCATTTTCACTTTAGAAAGCACCCAAGACATCCTATTTTACGCTACTAAATTTTCAAAAAAATAATAATAATAATAAATTTCAACACTTAATCCACATTCAATTAAACAAGCTTACAGACAACTTATGGTATTCTTACAATAAGAGGGAGGTAAACTCTCAATGTAGAAAAGTAAGTATAAACAAGGATTTTTAAAACATGACCATATGGGGGGAGGAGGGGGGGGTGGAATTGAAGTGTTAAATTAGAATATAACTAGTTTTAGTTCTTGTTTGAGCCACATTTATTTTATAAGAATACATTTTTTAATGGTGTATTGATAGAAAATGTGTGCTTAAAAAATAAGAAAAAATTTTAAATTTGAGTGTAGAATTATTTTATTAAAAAATGTGTGATTGAAATAATGTCAAATCACTATTTAAAGATGTATTTTTTCAAATAATATAACTCAAACATGGAAGTCGTGGTGTGTCATTTTTCGTTTCAATTTAAATTGGTATCAATTCCAGTTGGGCTTCTCGGCCCGGACCCCCAGAAATAAAGTATAACAGGCCTTTGCAAATTCGGGTAAAACTTCCCCAGTGTAATCAAGATTTTACTCTCTGTTTCTTGCGGAGGAAGAAGAGAATCGAGTTAGAGAGAACCAGATAGATGGATCCCAAATTCACAGAGGTGTCCCAAGTATTCCAGCTATTCAAAGCAGCGTTTGTACGAAAAGATTTTGATACTTGCATGAAACTTCTCTCTCAGCTCAAGGTACAATTTTGTTCACTCGAAATCCTTATTTTTTTAATGATTTTCAAGGTTCGTTGAAATTGAACACTTTTATTGTTTCCCCAACTTTATCAAGATGATGTATGTGTTTTACAGGATCCAGAAATAGTCGGGTTTTGTCTTACTAATGTTAATAATACCTGTTCAATTAAAATCAATTGTAAGGAGTATGTCACGGAGTTATATCTGAGGGATTTTGTATGGCCTGATTAATTTTTCAATTTTTGCTTTGAACATTTAAGGTTAGAATAATAGAAATGTGGCAGTGGAAAGTGATAAGAATTTTGTGGGGCAAATGTAGGCTTGTGTTGATGAAGATAGTACTATTTCATGGCTTTACAAGAAGTTTGGGAAATTAGACAACATTTATTATGGAAATGAATGTTCTAATGGGAAAATGGGGTTTCATGATTTTCTTGCTTAATGGCGTAGGAGCAGATCCAGTCGATTATAGTTCTAAATCATGAAAGCTTTAAAAAAATGTGTTTTTAGGTGTAGAATGTATTCCTTTGGGTTTATGAATCTTCCAAAGTTTCCATGAGAAACGTTTGGACAAAGTAGTGGTGGTTCAGAAACAGCAAGTTTACTTTTTTCCTTTTTGTTCTATTGTAAATGAGAAAAGAAAAAAAGAAATCAGTATCAAGCAATCTAAATTTTGGGAAACACATTAGTATATTTTTTTCTCATTTTTCAGAAAGAAGTTACAAATATTTCTTCAAAGAAGAAAATGAGTGAATTTTTATGTTAGTTTAAAACAAAGTTTAAAAAGGCGAGATAAGATAGGTTATAATGTGTACTGAATTTCCAAAGTTGATGTATAGTTGATTAATAAATAATTAAAAAAATAGTGAATTTCAAAAACATGTTAACCAATGAAATTTTTTGGGTTTAGAAAGTGAGGCTAGGTTATTAGATAGAGGCGCGCACCTCTTATAGTTTAAGACATGGCATTGAAGCTTATGTTACAATCAATACATGCGTAAGCCTCATTGAACCATTAAACGTTTGCACTTTAGTGCAAATTCTGAGCGCCTCAATGTCGCCTTTTTAAACCATGGTTTGAACTCAATGAGTTCCATTTAATTTTGAAGCAAAGGAGGCTATAAAGAGGGTAATATGGAGAAATAAATAGGTTGAGGTGAATTTTTGTTGGTGTGTTGAGTATAAAACTGGGCGATTGAGCATGGATTAATGGTTTTGCATTATGCCAGAGAGAGATACAAGAACAATCTCATTGGAAGAAAGATATAGAGAAAGAGGAAATTTTTATGCAATTTTTCATCAATTTAGGAAAGTTATGTACATGGTTTAGAAAGGTGGCATTGAGGTGCGAACATTTAACGGGTCTCACAAGGTTTAAGCCTCAATTGATTGAGACATAAGCCTCATTGCACATGCCTCAAACAATGAGAGGCTTGCGCATCTCTTTAATGACATGGGCCCCCACTTTTTATTTAAATTACAAATTGTATTGGTTCATTTGCATTGAAAATCCACTAATTTCTTTAATTATTTATAAATTAACTTTGAAAATCCATTGTATATTAAACCTACCCTATTTTTTTATTGTTTATTAATCAACGATAAATTATTAGTCCAAACACAACACACTCTAGAATTACAATACATCAGCGAGACGGCGACAATGTAGAGCTCTGGGGACATCACATTGGCGACGATAGCAACTAATAGCAGCACAGTCTTTAACTTATTATATTTTTTTGGAATTTTAAAGTTTGTTTATGGTCCATTACAAGCTTATTTTTGTATTTTTATTATTATTATTATTTTTTTTTTTGGTGAGTAAGCATCACCTCACAAAGGAAAATGCCTTAGTGCACAATTTCGCCTTTTCTAAACAATGTTTATATAGCAGGTATTTAGATAACTTCTATGGTGCTTGACTAAGAAAAGGAATATCTATTGAGAATGATGTGTAATGGAGCATTTACGAGTGTAAGATCTTATGGGGGAAGTAGTAGGAATTTTTTTGACATGAATCATTATTCAAATGATTTAGTAGAGCTTCTAAGACATGTCTCCTTGATTTGTATTTTTACCATTGACAAGACTGGTGCAAGGCTTTATAAGTTCAAAAATAAGAGTAGGATTTTGTAATGGAGGCTTAGGTTAAAGACTAAGGTTTCCAGCATTGAATGATAATTTAACCAGAATAGGAATAGGAAAAAGTAGAAGCAAAATTGTGTCTTCTGTTTCAAATAGCAATTCTTTTGGATGATTAGGTTTGTTTATTACTAAAGAAAGATGAATTGAATAGGATCTGATGTACTGTGTACCGGACAAATGCAGATTAGACAAAGTGAAGAAAATTCAATTTGATTGAATATATTTTCTAACTACAAGTTAAAAGACAAGGTCTATAGTATGACCATTTGACCAACTATGATTTCAGGGTTGACTTATGGTCATTAAAGGACAAAGTATTCATAAGGTAAATATACTGGAGATGAGGTCGTTAAGATGAACTTTTGGCTGCAAAGAATAGTAATATAGGAATCCAGAGAATTGTGCCAACAAGTGAAGGTGGCTGCTATTAGGATAAATTAAGGGAAGGCTGATTACATTATTTAATCTACAAGTGTAACCCAAACGGCCTATATTTTCTTTTCATTGTTTACATATATATTTTTTATTTCTATTTATTTTTAATTGGATCTTTCAGATCAAATTGAGTTGCGAATAACAACTTGAGTAGACAAGTTTAATTTTGTTAGGAATGATGAAGCTTAGTTTTTAGTTGTTGCTACATAGCCACCCCATTTTTATTGAGAATAAAGCCTAACTGAGCTTTGTTTATCATGTTTACTTTTACTTTGTGCTGCATTCGAATGCATTTTATGATCTTTGTCGGTAGTATATAGTGCAAGTTATGCTATATTTCATGTTGCAGGTTACATTGACAGAATTTAAGAGTTTACCTCCGTTATTTGAAGAAACACCAAATGCCATTCAGGAACGGACACTTGCTAGTAATAATAACCTCCTACTCTATCTGATATCTCTTGTGGCAATCTTTATTACATTTTTTGAATTTTCTTTTTTTAGTAGTAATATCTGTAATCTGATAAATTACAGGGGACATATATGAGCATGCAGTCTTTCTAAGTGTAAAGATTGAGGATCAGGATGCTTTGGAGAGGGATTTTTTCCAACTGAAACCTTATTATACAGATACCCAGTAATTATCTTTCTTTAATTGGTCATATTGATTCTCCATAACATATTTAGATATGTGATTTGTTATGTGGATTTTTAAATGTAAATTTTGGAAAGTTCTTACGATGTCAGTTTTGGTGCAGTATACTTTTGTTTAAAGACAAATCTTATGATCTTCCTTTCACTTGATTGAGCAGTGGTCTACAACCATCCACTCAGGAGCATCCGATATTAGGTCTCAACCTTCTGAGACTCCTCGTGCAAAACAGAATTGCTGAATTTCACACTGAGTTGGAATTGCTTCCTTCCAGTGCTTTAGAGAACCCTTGTATCAAGCATGCAATTGAATTGGAACAATCCTTCATGGAAGGAGCTTATAACCGTGTGTTGGGTGCTAGACAGACTGTACCTCATGAGATATATGTTCATTTCATGGACTTGCTGGCGAAGACAGTCAGGTCAAAATATATACAGTACCATATCACACTACTTCATGTATTATTTTCTTGGTAGATGGAATTGATTTGACACCATCATATATCAAACTCATCTTTTTTATATTTAGCCTCCATAAGGGAGGAATCTATAACGGTTAATTTACAAATAGATAGAAATAAGTAGTCAATAAGTAAATAGTACTTGTAGGTTCATTCTAAATTGTAATATAAGGTTGAAAAATGAAGTTTTACCATTTATAAATCATTTAAAAAGTTTGCCAAATGAAGGCTTATTTTTTTTCTTGGAAAGAGGTGGAGAAGAGTTGTTAGGGGCTTCTTAAGTCGTTGATACTAAACATAGAACATGGATAACATCTTATTATGGACACTGGTTCTGTCCATTGTTGTTTCTTGTTTAAGTCATAAATGACCACTAATAACCTCAATGGTTTTGTGCATAAAGTCAACTTATACCAGCCTTACTTGCATTAGAGATATTTGCTTGTGGATTGTTCATGTTGATATCTGGTTTATTTTAACATGTGAGTAGGTTTTTGGCACGTGATAGTTTGTTTGTTATCTTAGGGATGAGATTGCTGGATGCAGTGAAAAGGCTTATGACAGTCTTTCAATAAACGATGCTCGACAAATGCTGCTGTTTTCTTCTGACCAAGACTTGGTTAAATATATTGAGGAGGTAAGCTTCCTTGCACCTCATACCTTCCATAACCTTACTGATTCCCTCACTATCCTTTGCTTGTCAATGGAATTATGTTTGGTAAAGCTTTTTGTAGATTATAAGCAGTGGATCTTATGAAATTTGTGGATAAAAGTTGTGGGTCCTAGGATTGTGTGAATAAAAATGATTTTTAACCTGCTTATTATAAGCTTGAAAAAGCTTTAAAAAACATATAAATAAGGGTATTAACTTTCATCTTTGGTTCGGAGCTCTTGTCGCACCTTCATCTTGTGGCTATGAAGGAAGCAATAGTGCTAATTATAAACTATTGCAATTGCAGGAACATCCGGAGTGGGAGATAAGAAAAGGTTTTGTGTTCTTCCAAAGAGCTAAAGAATCTGCACCTTGCAAGGAGATTCCTTCTCTGCAGCTGATCAACCAGACACTCAGTTATGCAAGGGAGTTGGAACGGATTGTGTGACGAGTAGCTTCCCCCATCTTATCCGTGCTTCTGTTTTTTGTATTTTCGAATTTTTGATGCTAAAAACTGCTCTTTCGCATGGAATATTTTCATTCTGATTTGGAAAAAAATATTGGGGATGAAAAATAGAATGTTGGCGGAGTTTCTTTTCAGATGTTTAGTATTTTTAACCAATCAGACAGATTTGCATTTTGCTTTGGTTATTCATGTTTGTTGTTGATGCCAATACGTTTACTGTTTTTGGTTGTGTTCCAGAGAGTAGAATCTACTTCTAAAGTTTCTTATTTCCAAAATTTACGTTTTCTTGAAGTAAAAAAGTAAATCCTAATTTAACTTTACCTCAATAGATACTCAAGTATAATATGGCGAACAGTGTAATGTTTCCATAAACCTCAGATTAGAAACCGGTCCCCGTTTTCTTTAAAAGAATATCATGGCAAAAAGATTTGAGTGTTTTGTTTTTTCTTTTTTCTTTTTTATCAAAGCTTAATGGAGAATTTGTACTGCATCAAATACAGAATTTATGTATTATCATGGATGTGTGTTGTCAAGTTTTCATGTTACAGCTGGACTAACGACATCAAAAACTACAACAGTCTGCGAATGGTTAATGGCTTCAAGTTAGGTCTTCATCTTCAGACACGACTCAAATCAATGTAGTAAAATCAGCTTTGCGCCTTAACGTCGTGATTTATTTCATTATCCCATACAGCGTGAAATTTGAACAAACAAAAATGAAGGTTTAGATAACCAACCATACGATGTCAGCAGTGAGTTTAAAGAGCGGCATCTATAATCTGATGGAATAAGAGTCTTGATTTGACGTGTTTTTCTGCGTTGTGCAATGTCACTTCTGATGCTATTATACGAAAAATTCGTTCAAATTCCAAGATCAAAACTTGGGAAATCATCCATTTCAGTCGTATTGAAATCCTGCTTGGACTGTACAATATCAGAGATATCATCTGCAATACGACCATTTGAAGCAACAGTACCAACTTGGGAAGCTCCTTCGCAGCATCTAGCAGCAGTTACTTGGTTATCTTCACATAGCTACACCAATGAGAAAGTAGTATTAAGAGGAGACATTTCGCTTTTACTTTCTTACAGCATCAACTATTAAAGTCGTATTGCTTGTCAAAAACCAAGAAGAAAACTGCTAAAATCAAGTAGTACTATATTCAGACCTGTTGAGAGTTTCAAGAAATTACCGTGGGTTGTTGACTGGAGCAGAGACCAGGTGTTGCTGAAGGAAAAATTTTAGTTGTATTCTCTGACGGGTATAATATAATTGAAAGCTATGTAATAAAAAATCAGAAGTTGGCAGTGTATATAACAAAGGTAAAACTTGCCTTCTTGCGAAATTACTTGAGGATGGCTTTCAATTTCCAAATTTTTATTTGATGTGCTGGGTGGCATTGATCCCGTTGGTATTTGGCCCTCAATATCCAACGCCAAAGCAACCAATTCCTGAGACTCCACGGCTGAAGAAACTGATGTCGACTCAATGAAATCAGTGCCTTCTAAACTAAGGATGGAAGTTAAATGGTTTGTTGTTTCTGACCTGCCATAGATTGAGGGGGAAAAAGGGGGAAGCCGATACATGCTTAGCAGTGTGTACTATTCTCATCAGCACATGTGGGACAAAAATCTAATTACCAGTCTTGGCAACCAATACCACCACTGAATTTGGGGAATTTTGAAAGGTCTGGAACTGGCGTGGAATTCGCCAAAATTGAACACTCATAATACTGGACCAATGTTTCTAGAAAGCCCAGGACTAATTCTGATTCCATTAAAAATGAAAATGACTTGTTTGAGGTAAGGGAGGTTCGGTTATATGAGAACGCAGAAACCTGTTTTGCACATCAGGGGCACAAGGATGTTTACTTTTTAAGACTGCAGACTACGTGAATTCTGCCACAACCATTTTAGAGGATGTTTACAATCAAATGATGTAGTGGTGCCTAATAAAGCACAGCTGACATAAGAGAATCTTGAAATAAAAATATTTGCTGCACTTAAAAATATAATTTCGGAGTGTCAAGCCTAAGACAATTTTATTCTAGCAGTCTCTTATTTAGGAATGCATACCTGAGATAGGACCTGGCTGTCCTAGTTTGAGATTCTCCTCTTTTGTCATGATCTTCCACTTTTTCAGCACCAATGGGAAGGACTTCATTAACAGCTTCAGATTTAAAATTTTCAGCGCTACAATCATGAACTAAGATTGTTTTTCTGTTCAATTCCTTTAGCACGCTTCCATTGCATCCGCATGCTTGTTCTTGTAATTGGTCCTTGATATTAGAATGAACGACAACTGAAGATTTTGACTCATCGATCTCCTCCACCAATGCTCTTTTCACTGCAACAATATTCTCCTCAGACGTGGATTTCCGGAGATTGGACAAGATTTCATGGGCTGCCATTATAAAGATAAAACAAAATATTTGATCAGTCGCAGAACTGAGTAAGAGGTATACAAGAAAAACTGCTATAAATGGCCTAAAATGAAATTAAGCATCAATAGTTGGAAATAATAGACAGTGCATGAGCAATCATTTATTTATATGATCACTGATAACACAAATAGGTACCTGCAGAAGACCTTTTTTTTTTTTCTAATCCATCTACACATCAAGCAAGATGCCAAAGCGGATGACACAGTTAATGCCATGAAAGATTATATAAGGGATGGCTTTAGACACTTAATGGTGAAGAGCATTCATTCTTTTCTCGAGTGATTAGCTGAACACAAAATGAACCAAGTGATACATGTTGCAAAAAAATTAGTTGCATGTACATTAGATAAACTATTTGCTCAAGTTGACACTTCGCTTAGTTGCCTGTACGAGGGACTCAAATAACTCCACTGTTGTAATTTATGGAAACTTATATACTAGAGCAATGTGGATACACACAGACTTGGCAGGACTCCAAAAACCGCAAGATCAACTAATATACGATGCAACAACATATTATTCAGTCATCTTAAGATACAAAACCTAGAGGCTAAGTTTTGAATTCGCAATTGCTGATAAGTAACAGTTTAAGTACCCATCACTCAATCTGCAATGCACGTCTTTTGCAACTCACTTTCTCAAGAACTGACACATTGCATTGTTCTCAGACCTAAATCGAAAATATTCAAGGGAGGAGCCTTCCCACTTGTCAATATTAGTTTCTGAAGTGCTAACATCTCCATTGTCACACTACAAATTCAGTCCTCGTGATAGACAATGAAATCCCTTGACCTCATTCCAAAATTTGGAATCTAAATCTTCTGAGAATTCTAGTTGATCTGCATTCTCATAATTAAATGTGTTTATTTAGAGTTAATTTAGAAAGTTCTCAATGATTTTTTGGGCAGGTAGCTAATTAATGTAGTAAAATCAGGTCCAGCTTACGTGCATATTAATATCATATCATATCATGGAGTGATCCACATATACTCTACGCTTGAAATAGAAACAGCTACATCAACCTTGGTCTACGGTGTGCTTATAAAATGAGACCAAAATACTGATTCAAATGGGAGAAAATATCAAATAAGCATGGAACCAATGTTTGGAGTCAAGACTAATATAATAATTAGAATAAACACAAAAAATAAATTTCATAGAGAAAACAACAAAAAGGTTTCCTCTCAGAACCTTTATATTTTCTCTGGAAAAAACGATTGGACCCATATGGAAAATACATTCGTATCATAATGTTTCAGATAACATCCTACCAGCACGTCTTGGCTTATTTGCAGAGACTGTCCAACTTAATTTTGCATCATCAATCTTGGAGTTTCTATCATTTAAGACCATGCATTTCCCTGGAAAAATCTTGTTATGAGGTCTCCCTATGCATTCAACGCAAGGCATGCAGAATAAACAGGATATCAACAAAAATATCGAATAAAACAATTCAAAATACTGAGAAAGAATTCTGAACATTCAGGTTCTAATTGGTCCGTAACAGCACTTGAGTATAGAAGATTTTAAATTTTAATTGGATCTGTGTAACGATTTTATTAGAATTGCTTCTTGCAACAATTGGGAGAACTGTCAACAGAATATATTGCTGAGACTGAGACAAAGTGCCGAGTATCATTAATTACCTATATTCTGTGATATTCACATGCAAGGACAGAAAGAAAGAAGCATGGGCTTGGTAAAATAAAAAACTAAAAATTCAGGGACTTTTAAGTTACATGCTAAATATTGTTTACTATTAGAGATAACAGATTCAAATTCATTATGTAAGACGAACAAAAACCTTTAAGCCTCCTTTTGGGAAGAATTTATAAATAGATAGAAATGAGTGGTAAATAATTGTGGGTCCACTGGAATGTGTGGTTGAAAAGAAAATTTGACCATTTATAAATGATGTATGAATTTTTCCAAACAGGGGCTAAATCATGAGACATAGTAATACCAGAATTTCAACTATCATCAGAAGCTATCATTCCTCAGAGAAATATCTAGTTCAAAAGTTGATTTGTTCGAGATTTAATGTAAATTTAAGGCAGTGATTACAAATTGCCATCTGCTAAAACTTTGATTAACTGTTGATATGCATAGATCAGCAATCAGCATGGATCAAAAGATTCAAAACTCAAATGCAGGTATCATGGATGGAGAAAACGAGTGTGGAGAAGGATGATAGCAGCTTCACATATTATATGGGGTAATATGAAAGTAAATTCTCTTGGTGATTAGACGAATATGGATGTGTTTTCTGTACGTCCTGGAAAGAAATGGAATCTGGTATTATTGAAAATCTAAAAAGGATAGAAGTAACAAGTGTAAACATCTAACATGTCCAAGAAAAGATATCTTATGGATGCAGAAGGGTGATAAGATGCAATCCTTTAATAAAGGACCCAAGGATACATGTGTAACCAAATATTAAATAATTTTCTAAATTAAACTAAACTGGAACCCGAAACAATATTGAAGGGAAAAAAAAATCCTACTATATAAATAGCAGAAGGAAAATAACATGCTTCATAAAAATGAAGATAAATTAGCAAAAGGGTAGATGTACCAGCATGAAATTTCCCATTGGTAGGGTTTGCTTTGTTATAAGTTGTCTCAGTTTTAACAACAGCGTTGCAATTTATTCCTTGAAGAGCCATGTCCTTTGTCGGCTTATTGTCTTTTTGAAGCTCTCCAATGTCTACTAAATGACAGTCAAATACTAATAATTCACCAGAACTGACTATTTCATCCCTCTTCAGAAACCTGTTATCCAAAAGTCTCCTGGTTGTGTCATACAGCATGACCTGAATATGACGAGCAACAGTGCGCATTGAGTGCATGACAATGATGTAAAGATGATAATATCTCCAATGTGTTAATTACAATAATCACTAAACTAAATGACAGGTTGATAGCTTGACCAAGTTTAAAAATAAATATGCTGAGAGTCTGATATAAAACTTGAAACATTTACATTAAGATCTGTACATCTCATTGGCATTAGAGCTGACAATCCAGAAGGCCAGGATCTTTAGGTATCAGAACTATACTAAATGAAACTTGGAAACTTAATCGTTAGGTGAAAAAAGAAGAGCAGGAAAAGGGAGGGGAAACTCAATTGGCAGTGAGTTTTAAAATGAGATCAGGTTGCAGAAGTTCTATATTTCTTCAATCTCAAATCCACATTTGGCTGAAAGAGTTCAACTAAAAACAGTTAAAATCATTCTGATTCAAAGACTACATAAAGCACTAGCAACAGAGCAGAAGTAAGATTCTCAAGTGTTATAATTTCTTTTTTACTTTTCCATGTTTCTAACTATTTAAATGAGATCAAACAGCACCATCATCACGTAACTTGGTATATATTCTGGATGTCTACCCCGTCAACTATTTTGTGCACTGTCTGTCTCTCTCCCAACTCCAATCCCTCCCCCTCTTGAGACTGAAATGTCACCTTCCTTTGACTTGATACAGCTCAAAAGGAGCAAAAATTCATAACATAATCTCAGCTCCATATGTAATGTTTCATAAAAATTCTCAAAAAGCTCATCTTACATGTACTTGCTGATGTGCAAATTGAAACCTGTGTACAAAAAGTAGTGTAACACAGAAGATGCTCCCTGATGTTTCTAAAGTGTTCTTGCTTCCTATTTCACTCGTCTTCCCTTTAGTTCTTTGTTTCCCCATTTCTTGATCTTTCTTGTTTTCCAACATGATGGGAAAGACTAAAGATCTCTAAGGTAGTGTTTCTCCATTTCCATGCTAATATAATCAACCGACTACAACACCTATATATATAAGTTCGGTGGATGTGTTTTGTGAGAGAGAGAGAGAGAGAGAGAGAGAGAGCAAGGCTGGTGTCTTGTGTATATCTTGTGAACATTTCTATATAACCCCAAGAAAACCAGGAGTTTTTGGTATCAAACCTGTACTAAAATGATATTTTCTTCAACTTAATTTTCAGAGGAAAAGAAGAACAAGAAAAGGAAAGGAACTTCATTAGCATTGTGCTTTAAAATGGAAATTGGTTGCAGAGACTAAATTACTTTGATGTCAACTTCCAACATTGGTTGGAAGTATTCATCGAAAGACAGTTAAATCATTCTGATGTAGAGACTATATGTCGCAGCAAGCTTCTCAAGTATTAAATTCTTTCTATTCCCGTCTAACTGTTACAACGTCAATATTTAGAGCTTGTTTAGTATAGCTCAAAAATCAATTAAAATCAATTTTTTTACCGTTATTCCACTATTATAACCGTCATTTTTGAATTATTCTCTCACAGGTAGAATCCACTTTATCTGTAACGGTCAGAAAATCAATTATCAAAATCCCTACCAAACAAGCACTTAATTGAGATCAAGAAGCACATCTTCATATAACATCGTATTTCTCCTGGCTTTCTACCCCTTCAACTATTTTAGGCATCATATTATTGAAATCTGTCTGTCTCCCAAATCCAATCTCTTCCCCTCTTAAAACTGAAATCCAATCGCTTGAAAGGAAAACAAATCTTCGCCCCATCCTGAAGGTGTCAGAAAAAAGCTTCGAAAAGCTTATCTTACCTGTTGAATGATGTGTGATATTGAAATCTGTTTACAATCAAAGTTGACTCTTAACTCACAAGATCACAGATCACCTTCCTTTTGGAATTCCTCATACCATATTGTTACATATGAGGACTAGATTCAATGAACTGTTCCCAAATTATATAGCATTCCCAAGGGTATCCATGCATATCACTTCAAATCCAAGTGGCCCCACAAACTATTGTGAAGTCGTGATTCTCAAACAGCATATCCATAAGTGAAAAAACGTTTTCTACTCTTTACACTCCATGGACAGATGGCATTCGGTTATTGGATAAAATAATGTCACTAGAGTTGTGGTTTTTCTCTTATCATTTATGGACCATTGATCCACATCTATGGTTGAGATTTAGTCTCATATAATTAATGCAAAGGGAGACTTTAAGGGTTGGTGAGAAGAAGTCAGCCGGCACTTTTTCTTTTCATTTGGCAGAAATTGTCCCTTCAAGTTTCTCTCTCTCTCTCTCGTTCCTTCATGTTTCTGCTTCTTCTTTTCTCTTTTGAATTGAAGAACCAGTGAAGATTATTGTAATAATCTTGTTGTTATCTGATGATGATAGAACTATGGTACAGAGTTTTAGGCCTTGATTGTGGCTGGGAAATCTGTAGTGTGTTCTTGGGAAGGTTTTGTCTAGTCTTGTGGCTAGGTTTTCGAGTTATTGAGAGATCCTTGTGGATCGATGATCATATAGTGGGTATGATGTGATTTCTTCAACTGGTTGTACACTCTCTTGAAGGTTTCTTGCTAGTGACGGGCTTACCTCTGAGCCCCCCAGATTAGGCCATTTCAGGCTGAACTGGGTGAAAATTTCTGTGTTCGATTTTCTGTTCCTGCTTTATTTTACTGTTTTACGATTGTTTGTTGGTGTTGGGTCGATAATCCTAACAAATCTGGTATCAGAGCTCGGTTTTCGAGGCATCTGCGTGACATACCTTGCCCTGAGGATATTTTAGTGGGTTGAGAAAAAGGTTAAACGGTCGAACATATTTTTTTTTCGGATCAGCAGATTTTTTTTTCGGATATTTCTTGAGATTTTAATTTCTGTCCAGATCTTAAAGATCTGCACAGATATTTAGGAAACTAATTTTTCTATTTAAGTGCGAAGGTTAAGAACAAAAATTAGTCAGCCCCTGACCGGCTCCATTTTTGGCAAGTGATAGGGTGATCTCTGAAACTCTTGTGATTGCACTGTTGTTCAACGGTGCTGTGGGTGAGATCTAAATAATAAAAGAGCCCGTATAATTTTGGTGCACAAAATTGCATGTTTATTGCTCTGTGGATTAATTACTGAAATTGTACATTGTGCATTGATAATTGATCTGACAATAGGAGCATGTTTTAGGAATTATACAAAGTTCTTTATATTTGTTGAGTAATTCCTTGTATTCCAACACATTGATTGCTTGTGTACATTGTTTTCAGTTATGCAAGTTAGGATAATTGTTTTTCATTCTGTAATCTGCATTCCTTAAATCAGTTAGGAAGTTTCTTGGTTTTGTTTTTTGTAATCATATATTGAGGTGTCTGTTATGGCTTCCAGTAGTAGCCACCCCTTTTCAGAACCTATGATGGGTTCGAAAGTCGAACTATCACAATTCGATGGAAAGGGGGATTACTCGATTTGGAAGCAAAAAATGAGGGCCATATTGGTCCAACAGAGGGTTGCTAAAGCCCTGGACGACCCTGACAAATATTCTGATGAACTTAAAGCCAGACCAGATGAGATTCTTGAAATGAATGAAATAACTTATAGTTCGATTATCCTGCACTTATCTGATAATATTGTAAGACAAGTAGAAGAATCCAAAACTGCTAGAGATCTTTGGACAGCCTTAGATAACTTGTTCTTAACCAAGACTTTACCAAATAAAATTTATCTCCTGGAAAAACTGTTTAGCTTTAAAATGGATGATCGAAAAGACCTGGAAACCAATTTGAGTGATTTTAGCATACTGGTGAAGAGTCTTGCTCATAATGATAAAAAATTTGAAGATGAGGATCTTGCAGTAATCCTTCTAAACTCTTTACCTGATTCTCTTAAGGATATCAAAAATGCTATAAAATACTCAAGAGATGCATTAACACAATCAATCGTGACAAATGCCCTAAGATCTAGGGAACTGGAAGTCAAGAAAGAATCTAAACTAAACTCAAGAGAAGAGAGTTTATTTGTGAGAGGAAGACAAGAAAAGAGGGAAAGTAATTCCCAGAACAAAAGATTCAAGTCCAAATCCAGAACCAGATCTAAATCAAGAGACAAAAGCAATAAAAAATGCTATCACTGTGGGAAACTTGGACATTTTAAAAGAGACTGTTATGAGCTAAAGAAGAAGCTAAAAGAATCCAGCAACATTGAGTTAAATAATGCTGCTGTGAGTTCTGAACTTGACAGTCTTCTTGTAATGACTGTGACAAATGAAGAAACAGATACTAATTGGATTCTGTATGTACATTTCATATGTGCCCAAACAAATCTTGGTTTCATAACTACAAGGAGATAGAACACAGAAAAGTATATATGGGTGATAACAATTCACAAAATGTATTGGGAATTGGGGACATTTCAATCAAAATGTATGATGGAAGTGTTAGACTGATTAAAAATGTGAGATATGTCCTAAAGCTAAAAAGAAACCTCATTTCATTGGGGATTCTTGAAGATGAGGGACATACATTTAAATCTGAAAATAACACTTTGAAAATCTTGAAAGGATCTCTTGTAGTCATGAAAGGGCCTAAAAGGAATGGGCTATATTACTTAATGGGAAAAGCTGTTAATTCCCAGGACTCAAATTCTTTAACTATAACTGAGTGCAAATCTGAATTGTGGCATTGTAGAATGGGTCATATTGGAAATAAGGGCTTAAAGTATCTTAATGACCAGAAATTGTTTGGGAAAGATAAAGTCGAACCCCTTAACTTTTGTGAAACATGTGTGTTAGGGAAGTCTCATAGAGTGAGTTTTGAGACTGGGTCACACACAACAAATAGACCTTTGGACTATGTCCATGCGGATTTATGGGGGCCAGAAAATCACCCAACCTCTGGTGGAAATAAATGTTTTTTTTCTATAATTGATGATTATTCTAGAAAGGTCTGGACCTACCCTTTGAAATCCAAAAATGAAACTTTTCAAAAATTCAGATTGTGGTTAAAGATGGTTGAGAACCAATTGGACAAGAAATTAAAAACCTTAAGGACAGATAATGGGTTGGAATTTTGCAATGCTGAATTTGATAATTTTTGCAAGCAAAAAGGAATTATTAGACATAGAACTGTTAAGCATACTCCCCAACAAAATGGGGTTGCTGAGAGAATGAATAAAACCCTTATGAATAAGGTAAGATGTATGCAGATCAGTTCTGGGCTTGCAAAAGGATTTTGGGCAGAGGCTTTATGCACTGCTGCCTACCTCATAAATAGGTCCCCTTGTAGTTCTGTAGAATTTAAAACTCCACAGGAACTATGGACTGGAAAACCACCAAATCTGTCACACTTAAGAGTTTTTGGTTGTGCTGCATATGCACATCAAGTTGAGGGAAAATTAGACCCGAGGGCTACCAAGTGTGTTATGCTTGGATACCCTGAAGGGGTTAAAGGGTACAGGTTATGGGTACTTGGTATTAAATGAATAAAAATCATTAATAGCAGAAATGTGGTGTTTAATGAAACTGAGATGCCATGTTTGAAGAGTAATATGGATAAATCAGATCTGGCTGAAAAGGGTACTTCCCAAAGTGAGGTGAAGTTGGCAAAATTAAATAACAGCAGATCTGATGTAACTGAATCAGAACCTGTACAGGTCATTGAAAGTATAGAAAATACTGATGAAGGTGAAGTTGATCCACCCCAAACTGGAACTGAAACAGAATCTGAAACAATGGCATCTAACTACCCAGAAAATGAACCTAGTACCAAAGATTATCAATTGGTTAGAGATAGGGACAGGAGACAGATTAAACCTAACCTTAGGTATGAAATGAATAATCTGACCGAATTTGCCTTCATCTCTGGTGAAAACTTAGAACATTCTGAACCCTTTTCTTATGAAGAAGCAATGAATAGTTCTAAGTCAAAAGAATGGAAAGAAGCAATGAAAGAAAAAATGAAATCCCTTCTTGAAAATAAAACCTGGAAACTTGTAAAGAAGCCAAAGAACCAAAGAGTGGTTCAGTGTAAGTGGATCTTTAAGTTGAAGGAAGGTATTTCTGAATCTGATCCTTTGAGGTATAAGGCAAGGCTTGTAGCTAAAGGGTTCACTCAAAGGGAGGGAGTTGATTACAATGAAATTTTTTCACCTGTAATCAAATATAAAACCATAAGACTCATTTTGGCTCTAGTTGTTCAATTTGATTGGGAATTAGAACAATTAGATGTGAAAACTGCCTTTTTACATGGGGAATTGGAAGAGGACATTTATATGTGTCAACCTCAAGGTTTCGAAGAAAGGGGAAAATCTGATTTTGTTTGTAAATTGCAAAAATCACTGTATGGACTGAAACAAAGTCCAAGACAGTGGTATATAAGGTTTGACACATATGTTTTGAAAATTGGTTTTAGAAGGAGTAAATATGATCACTATTTATACTATAATAATTCTAAAACCGAGTCTAAAACGTATCTACTACTCTACGTAGATGATATGCTTCTTGCCAGCCCCAGTAAAGCTGAAATAATGAGGCATTAAGATCCGAATTTGATATGAAAGACTTAGGAAATACCAAGAAAATTTTAGGGATGGTGATAAATCGAAATAGGCAAGAAAACATGCTAACCATATCACAAGAACCCTACCTGCACAAAGTTATAACGAAGTTTGGTATGAAAGAAGCTAAGTCCGTCAATGTTCCCCTTGCTGCCCATATGAATCTCTCATCAGCCCAGTGTCCAAAAACTGAATCTGAAATTAAAGATATGACAAATATCCCATATGCCAATGCAATTGGATCTGTTATGTTTTCCATGATTACAACACGACCAGATCTTGCATATTCAATCAGTTTTTTAAGTAGGTTTATGGCAAACCCTGGAAAACCACATTGGGCTGGGTTAAAGTGGCTACTTAGATACATAGTTGGGACCCTAAATGTAGGATTGGTGTTCAAAAAGGGATCGGAACCATTAACTCTTAAAGGATATGTGGATTCCGATTTCGCTGGAGATAAAGATCAAAGAAAGTCTACAACTGCCTTCTTTTTTACACTTGGTGATAATTGTATTACGTGGAAGTCTCAACTTCAATCGATTGTAACTTTGTCTAGCACTGAAGCTGAATATGTGGCAATTACTGAATGTGTAAAAGAATGCATGTGGCTTAAAGGGATCCTAACTGAACTGAATTTTCTAAATACTCCACTTGTGATATTAACTGATAGTCAAAGTGCTTTACTTTTAAGCAAAAATCCTGTCTATCATGAAAGGTCAAAACACATTGAGGTGAAGTATCATTTCATAAGAGAAAAACTCTCATCTGGTGAAATGGCTCTTGAGAAAATTCATACTGATTTTAATCCTGCTGATATGGGGATTAAAGTACTGACTGTTAATAAATTCAGATCTTGTTTATCATTGCTTAATATTGATACAGGTTGATTTTTTGTGCAGGTACTTGGGCGATGATGTAGGGTACGGTTCTGTCACTAGCATTATAGCAACAAGAGAGGAAGTGCGCGGTTTGAGAACCAAGGTGAAGATTTGTGAAGTCGTGATTATCAAACAGCACATCCATAAGTGAAAAAACGTTTTCTACTCTTTATACTCCATGGACAGATGGCATTCGGTTATTGGATAAAATAATGTCACTAGAGTTGTGGTTTTTCTCTTATCATGTATGGACCATTGATCCACATCTATGGTTGAGATTTAGTCTCATATAATTAATGCAAAGGGAGATTTTAAGGGTTGGTGAGAAGAAGTCAGCCGGCACTTTTTCTTTTCATTTGGCAGAAATTGTCCCTTCAAGTTTCTCTCTCTCTCTCTCTCTCTCTTTCCTTCATGTTTCTGCTTCTTCTTTTCTCTTTTGAATTGAAGAACCAATGAAGATTATTGTAATAATCTTGTTGTTATCTGATGATGATAGAACTATGGTACAGAGTTTTAGGCCTTGATTGTGGCTGGTAAATCTGTAGTGTGTTCTTGGGAAGGTTTTGTCTAGTCTTGTGGCTAGGTTTTCGAGTTATTGAGAGATCCTTGTGGATCGATGATCATATAGTGGGTATGATGTGGTTTCTTCAACTGGTTGTATACTCTCTTGAAGATTTCTTGCTAGTGACGGGCTTACCTCTGAGCCCCCCCAGATTAGGCCATTTCAGGCTGAGCTGGGTGAAAATTTCTGTGTTCGATTTTCTGTTCTTGCTTTATTTTACTGTTTTACGATTGTTTGTTGGTGTTGGGTCGATAATCCTAACAACTATTAAAATTTTGAAATGGAAAATTAGCATTGGAGGAAATTATACTTAGAAATGCAAGAAGAGTGAGCTTTTAAAAGAACAAATACCACCTTTAAGCATGAGTAAAGGTAAAGACATCATTGAGTTTGCGTTTTCAATGAAGCCAGCATTTGATTACACATTAAGCCCTTATTTGATCCCTATTATTTTCAAAATATATTTTTCTCTCTCTTCTTTTCAACCACACATTCTTCAATAAAATAATATCACACGCAAATTCAAAAATTTTCCTTATTTTTTAACCACACATTATTCATCATTCTACTATTCCAAGATGCATTCTTACAATAAAATGTGGCTCTAATAGGCTTTAAGAATACAGTGCCAGGTTATTGTTCTTTATTGCTCCTTTAAAATCTGAGAGTAGCCATTTCATAATTGACTAAATAGTACATAAACAGACTGTATAAATGAGTTGCAAGAAAAATATTCTGTTGGAATGTACCTGCCTCCCTTGTGTTCCATGAACTACAAGCTTTAAAAATCCATCATGAAATTTCTTTGCCTTTTGATGAATTTGTGTAGTGTACAAGACCTCCCACTCTATGTCGAAAATTAGGAACGGGACATTGTTAGCCCTTGTTTGGTTCCCATTATTATCAAAATATATTTTTCTCTCTCTTATTATCAACCACACATTCTTCAATAAAATAATATTACATGCAAACCCAAAACTTTTTCTAATTTTTTAACCACACATTCTCTATCAAAATACTATTTCAAAATGCATTTTTAAGGGGAAAAAAAGATTGGGGCTCAAACAAACTATTAAGCCCCTGTTTGGACCCAGTCTCTTTCTCATTCTTTTTCTCTCTCTTATTTTCAACCACACAACCTTCCATAAAATAATATTACACGCAAATAAAAAACTTTTCATTCTTTTCTAATTACACATTTTTCAAAAAAACATTATTCCAAACATTAAAATTTGAAAAGAATGGGAGCCAAACGGGGCCTAAATCTTCTGAAAGGAATGTCAGACTGAAGTTCATGACATTATAACGATATGAAGTGTACAAAACATTATAGGAAAAACATCTGGAAAGAAGGATTCATTGTAATATAATTAGACGCGTGATTCATTCCACAACTAACCTGTTATGCCGGATTTCATCGAATCTGAACAACTAGGTGAGAAACAATACTTGTTTGTTTCCCTCTTCTTGTAATCTGAAATGTCAGATATCTCATAAATAATCCGTCAGACCATGCAGAATTTGCACTGTCAGCATTTAGCCTTTCTTCTTTAAGGATAACATATAGCAAGATGTGATAGGATTAAAGGAAGATGATAACTCATATATGTAAATCCTTTTATGCAAACAAGAAGCAGTATTCAAAATGAGGATCTTAGCTGCTGGTTGTTGCCAACGGCACCACCACAACACCGAGCCATCAAGAATTTATATGTGGTTTTGCCAGTGACCGAATGTGTGGAAGAAAATGGTTACTCACTTTAAAAAAAAAAAGCATAATGGAAGTGGTTGAACAAACCTATCTCATAAATAATCCGTCAGACCATGCAGAATTTGCACTGTCAGCATTTAGCCTTTCTTCTTTAAGGATAACATATAGCAAGATGTGATAGGATTAAAGGAAGATGATAACTCATATATGTAAATCCTTTTATGCAAACAAGAAGCAGTATTCAAAATGAGGATCTTAGCTGCTGGTTGTTGCCAACGGCACCACCACAACACCGAGCCATCAAGAATTTATATGTGGTTTTGCCAGTGACCGAATGTGTGGAAGAAAATGGTTACTCACTTTAAAAAAAAAAAGCATAATGGAAGTGGTTGAACAAACCTCTAATAATCTTTTGTGATGGGCTTAAATTAGTCACTCTAGCTTTCTTCTTCGCACAGGTAGTCTTCATATCTTCAAAAGGACACATGTAATGATTAGACATTGAATGATAATGTGCATAACAAGTATTGGTTCAACTTATTAAACAATCAAGTGGAAAATAAATACCAACAGAATTGGAGTTGTGTCCAAATTTATTGTTGTGTAATGATCCCAACTTCTCCAAAACCTTCTCATCTTTTCTTTGAAAACTTAAACCAGAAACAGGTTTATGATCTCCATATAGATCACCAATGTCAACAAGATGGGACGCAAATGCCAGAGTTTCACCAGATTCAATAACATCATCTTTGTTCACAAACCTACTTTCCAAAAGCTTCTCACATTCATCATAGAGCATGACCTGGTGATGATTAAATAAATTACTATAAAAGCATAAATGAAAATACAAATTGAGACACAACCGATATCAATATTATTCAGACAATACAATCGAAGGTTCAATTTATTCGGGATATGATTTAACAAAAAAAAAAAAAAAAAAAAAAAAATGCATAATGAACTAGATAGACATATAATTGGAAAAGCTGGAAAAGCTTATATCAGACCTGAAGTATAATCAAAAAGGTAAAATTGCACCCATCTCCAAAATCTTATCAAAAGAACGTGTATTCACCCAAATTGCAAAGTTTTGATAACTGAACAAAACATTGCAACTTATTTCACGTACATTCTCATAGTTACAGAGAGGAACTCATAATTGTACGCATTACAGTTTACAATTAAAAATAATAGTAAGACACTATCCTCCATCAATTTTTCACTCAATTTCAACAACTATTCAGCTTAATCAAAAGTGTAAATCATGAAAATACAGAAATTAGCAACTCATCTGATCTAATTAAAGTATAATTACACGAAATTATATTATTCTAAACGGATAAAAAACCATTCACCTAAAAAAATACATGTATACACTTTTATGGATGGAAAAGAATAAAACAGAAAGAAAAGGACCTTGCGGGCAGAGGAGTGCAGTTCTAAGAAGCCGTCTTGATACACTTTCCGCTTTTGCTTGACGTGCTTTGTGTACGTCACGCTCCACCGCTTCCTATCCTCCATCAAAAATTACACATCATTTGAATCGCCAATTTGTAAATCTAAACTCCGGCGGAGAAGCCGAAAGAAAGAGGGAGGCGAGTCTGCTTTGAATTCTAGCGGGGGGGGGGAAATTATATGCAGTAGAAATTGCTCCAAAGGTCACTGAAATTATGTCCACGTCTTTGATTGGCCACTAAAGTTTAAAATGTCGGATTTTGATCATTAAACTTAGATTCATGTCTTCAATTGCTCGTTGAAGTTTAAGGTGTCAAGTTTTGGACATTGAACTTTGAAAAATATTGTACAGTATTCACTGTAAACTAGATTTTTTCAAAATTCAACAGTTATACTAATTCTTTTCTATTATAATAGATTAGTATTAGAAAGTGATCCCAGTTTAATGAATCCTTAATTATAATAGATTAGTATTAGAAAGTGATCCCAGTTTAATGAATCCTTTCTTTCGTGATGAATTGTTGGCACTAATCCCTGGTGTGCATCTAGTACGACTTGAACTTACGAAGTCGCAAATTATGAGTTGGGCACTTTAACCATTTAGCCATGAATGCCTAGTTGGAATCAATTATGCGTATTGTGCCGATTCTTTTGAGTAATATTTCTGAAGATGCCCTTCTTAACACCATTTTTGGGAGCCGTCGAATACACCAGCTATGCCTAACATGTGAAATGGGTGCATAAAAATGTTTGTGTCGATAATCACTAAAATATCATTGTCATAATTTTGCCTCATATATCAATTTTAATTAAAATTATCAATAGTCACAATTGACAATCATCCACAACTGCTCGTTGGTGACTGAATCATCATGAATAATTCTCGATAAAATCACTGACAACATTACCGTCAATAATCGTTGACGACGGTACGTCGTATTAAGTCACCAATCATCGTACAATCGGCTATCACCGATGAAATTTCTGTCAATGATTATTTGAGCAAGCAACAAAAACATCCATTTCCTTAAACCATCGATGAAAAGTTTTCTGTAGCATTCTTTTCAAGTTGCTTTGAAAACATGCAAAGGAAAAATGAAGATGAAATTAGACACAGAAACTGCAATTCGAGTCTGCGAAATGGCCTACTCCGTCAAACTTCTAAAACATTGCCATTTTGATTCTCAGTGTTGGATCTTTTTGTATTTCCTGCAGATGCTTTTTCTACCAAGCCCACCTCAGATTTGGCCTTCCTTTCAGTCATCATTCTTTGGGTTGATTTGTAGAAGGTGGCATATAGAATTAATTGAGCCAAACCAAGTAGTGAACCCATCCCATTAGGTGCCTTGATCATCACAAAATTCCAATTAGATTGATAAGAATGGAATTTTTAATTATTTAAAGACGATAATAAAAGGCGAAAGATCGAGAATAATTACGGCGATGAAGGGATCAAAACGAATGAGGGCATAACTAGTCCAACTAATGCCATTGAGAAAGGAGAAAAGGGAAAGAAAAAATGGCATAAACTCTACACTTCTTGTGGTGATCACCAGTTTCTGCAGCATACACAATAATTCATCATACTGATTTATATTTATAAGTAAATAGATTGTCAAATATAAATGTAATTTATCTAAACACAAACGATTTCAGATCTGCTGTCCAAAATTTGCTATCCACTCAATGAATGATTAATACACTTCGTGATTAAAATTAGATGACAGCTTAACGTAAAATGACGTATCAATCATTCATTGGTGGACGGTGAATTGGACAACAAATTTTGGACGGGGATCTTTCGAAAGTGTAGCAAACTCACCATTACTGCTAACGGTGAAGCGTACATCATAATGTTACCCACCATGCATATGCTCCCAACAATGGCCGAGCGGAGTTTTATCGAATGGACCAAAGTTAGGACGAGGAGGGCCAAAACCGCCATGAACAGGCATTCCGCTGCCACTATTAACAGCAACCTCAGCCTCTTCTTTCTGTCTGAGTATATAAGAAAGAGTAACAAATATATAACCTCAATTACAAACCCTGAACCATTTATGGTCACCACTAGTGTGCTATGTGGGTGCACCATTGGCAGTCCGTACAGAACCCATAGCCCACAATTCACAAAGGTGGCTAGGTATGGCACTGGTGAGTACTGTTCCACTGATTTTTTCTTCCATATTCGATAAAATGTTGGCCTGAAATATAAAACAAAATAATTTTAAATTTAATCATTTTGATATTACTAAAATCAACCAATTATATTTTAAAAAGAAATAGGAAATGAAACTCACGCAGGTGACAAAAACAATATGAGTGCAATGATGTTTCCTGAAAATAAACAAATCAAATTTACATTAGTTTGAAAGGTATAAGATAAAAAAGTCATTTTCAACTTTTTCACTTGAAAAGAACCTCAAAATTCAAGAAATTCTTCAATAAGTCGGTTCAAAAGAATGACCATACTTGATAGATTCAATTAAATAAATCTATCGTTTAATGTCGTACGGACGATACCGTCAACATTTTGACATTTTTACAAAATTTATAGAGAAATTTTTATGATAAAAGTATATTTTGTCCCTTCAATATTTTCTCATCTCCCTCGCGAAAACCATAGCTCCGCCACTGCCCCAACCCAACCACCACCAAAACTCAAACTCCATATGTAAATAAGCATATATACACCGGAAAGAGCACAGTTGAACGTGAAACCAAGAACTGACCTATAATCCCAACAGCAGTACGAGCATCTTCATTAGAGAACATGGCTAGCAACAGAAGAAAAGAAAGAGTGAAAATCCTTATAAAAAAGAAGAAATATGCATCTGTATGTGAAAGACAAATGTTGTATATATAGGCCAGGGACGAAGAGGTGGAGTTTGGCTTTTGTAAATACATATGATGTCACCTGCTTGACATGCAGCTTCTTAAGAGAGAAAAACACATGGAAACATCAAAATTCAGACATAAATGTGGCACTTTATTCAAGATTCTTACAGTTTTAGCTGTAATGCAAAAAACCTTAAATTTGAAACTGATTTTTGCATGGCGTTTCTGGTTTAGAAATATAATTCTTTTGGTGAAAAACTATTAATTTTATTTGGCGATTACTGTATTTGCACCGAATTCAGGACCGAAATTAAGTTATCCTTATCCGTAGAACTATAGTAGATTTGCATGCATTGCAGTTATGGGAGAAGGTGTTCTGAATTTTGACATCTGTATGCGCAGATTCACTAAGCACTCGTCTATGTTTAATAATAAAATAATATTATGTAGCCCCTCGTAGGGTAGCCGAGTTGGTGGAGTAAATGAACGCGGAAACCTTTGGTCACGAATTCGATTCCCCCTACCAACACTTTCTCGATCGAACTTGTCACACAGGGCTTGTCTAGTGCAATTTACCTAACTGGCGTGATTTGCAGGCTATTTCATCAGCCCGAGAATTTATCCAGTGCACACTTAAAGGGTAGCGGCTGCAGGTTCTCCTATCATAAAATAATAATAATAATAATAATAATAATAATAATAATAATAATAATAATAATAATAATAATGTTATGTATCGAGATTATAGATGATCATTGATCGTATTTAAAATAACGTATCAGTTAATGTCATTTAAATATTTTATCATTGCTCTCAATAATTTTCTTAATTATTGATTGCGAACATTATCAATCTAGGTGATAGTGACTTCACGATTCATTGTTCAATGATTAATTGAATTACTCGTTTATGTAACGGTGAAATTATTACTACATTGTCAAATGAAACAGTAGTCTCACAACACATTGAATTGATACTTAACACCAGTAGAACTAAACAACATTATTTCTTAATTTATTCAAGAAAATGAACATGTTTCAGATTTTGCATTTTTTATTTATTTATTTATTTTTTTGGATTGCAGACATCATCATGTCATTAATTTATTCAAGAAAATAAGCAGGTAACCGTTGCATTTATTTTTAGAGTTTTGCATTGAATTTTACTCAGATCTAACTTCATGTTAATAAAATATATTAAAAAAAAAACTTTATTTTGAGGAATACTTTACCTACGTGTAAATAATGGAGATAATCGTGTGATTGGAAACAGGTTTCTCATGGTAATAGCATGTAATTCGATCATGCATTTGGTATTTAGGACTATAAGATTAACAACGTTATACTTGCTTATTTTTAATACGGTAAATACTTATTATAATAACAAAAACGAAGTTGTGTTGATTAGATGAACACAAAGTTCTTGAAAAGATTTTATTCTTTAATACTTTTAAATATCGTAATACATCACATGTTACCTAAACAATGGCAGACGACGTCAATATCAAATCAAAATGTAAAATATATGTTCCTCTGATTATGTGTTTCTATGCATCTGATATATACACTGAAAAAGATTTATTATATATGTTAGTCACTAAGATGTTTTGAATTGATGATTAAAGTGATAAAAAGGAATTGGTGAAGACCCTTATTCTATATTTGTTCTAAGAACATGTCCCATGAATGTAATGAATCACAAGCCTAGTGGTGCAAAGGACAAGAGTGAAATTATCTCACGCCTTACTGACAGTCGCAGTGTGAGGGTTCGATTTCTGAAACATGAATTAGATTCCTTGTAGGCACAGTGTACAAACAACTCTTATTTCCTGGATTTTTTGGGCACATCCCGCGACTTACCTCCCTCACAAAGCTCTAGGGAAGAAACGGTGGAGGCCCTCAAGATTGGGATTTGATGATTCCAAATCTAGTTAGAACCGAACTCGACGACTTGACCCCGACCTTATCATCCTCAAAAAACACCAAAACAAGGTTGGGCATTTAAGGTCAGGTATGTGTGTGTCGACTCGTCAATCTTCATATGTGACCTGTGAAAGCACTAATTCTACCTTGAACACAATCCCTATCTTGTTAGACTCCTTCTTTGACTCAGACAATGATTTGAATACTTGAGGTGAAACACCAACTCCTTTTCCTACGAGGAGAAGGATTGTGGCAGAATAAGTCCTCCTAGGACTCCACCGCTAACACCTATAAATACACAACCTGTGCTCATTCCAAAGGTACGTTCTTCATTATTATCCTCAGTTTATAACCTCATGCATGAAATTCCCTGTCTGACGTAAGCATCGGAGGGGCGACGAGCACACACCTCGTTGCTTTTGTTTCAGATACTGGAAGGCGCAGTTCGTGTTCCATCCTAGTCATCAAGCTCAAGATTTTCAGGTGATATTTTTTGGTAGCATCATTGGCGCCGTCTGTGGGAAATTCGCTACCAAAAGCCATGGTCAATACACGTTCAGGTCTTCCTCCAGCAAGCTTATCAGTCCCGGATAACCCTCCACCTCCTGAGGAACACCATACTCCTCAAGAAGAGTCGTCGAAGATGCCAACACCTCCTCAAGCTGTTGTTTCCGCCAGAGCTTTTGAGGAACTTCGCCAGCAGGTGGTTGCATTGACCCAACTGCTAAGTCAGAGAAATTCGCATCCATCTCACACCCCAACACCTGAAGGTGGCTTTATGGCAGATGCTCGGACTCGAGTTCATCATCATGCAGCCCATGATGACGGTGGGGTTGGAACCTCAGGGATACCACAAGTTGCATCAGGTTCAAGGTCCGTTACAATAGACTCCGTCGAACTTGCAAGAATTATTCAAGAAGGGATAGCAGCGGGTATGCAACAAAATACTCGGGCAGCAACAGGGTTCACCTCCAATACACCATTCACTCCAGAAGTCCTCTCGTACCCCCTTCCCGATAGGTTCAAGTATCCTCGGATAAAGGAGTACGACGGGACAACCGACCCCATCAATCATTTCAATGTATACACGGATATCATGAACTTACAGGTTGCACCAGAGGCGGTAATGTGCAAGGCATTCCCCCAAACCCTCACAAATGTGGCTAGAGATTGGTTTTCCACATTGGAACCGAACTCCATCACCTCCTTCTTAGATTTGGCTAATAAGTTCTCCGCTTTCTTTGCGAGCAGCAAAAGAATCAGAAAGACACCCGCATTGCTCATGCAGATGCGTTAAGGACCCAACGAAACACTGCGCAGTTTCATGACCAAGTTCAATAAAGAAAGGCTTTAGATCCCCGATCTACATATCACAGCTGCAGTCTCAGCTCTGACTTACGCCATTAAGTGCGAAGCATTCAAAATGTCCTTGTCTAAAATCCCGCCGAAGTCAGTAACCGAGCTACTCACACGGGCTGAGAAATACATCAATATGGAAGAAACCATGGCCCCAAAAAGGGAAGTTACCTCATCAGGGAGGTTGGATCAGAAAAGGCCACATGAGTCCAGCTTAAGATAAGAGACACCTAGGGTCAAACCAAGTAAGGATCCACCTTCAACGGCTTTTACCTACCTGAACACTTCGAGGTCCAACATCCTGATGGAAATCAAGGACTCTAGGGAACTGAAATGGCCTCCCCGATTGCGGTCTCCCCCCGATACTCGTGACAAGAGCAAATACTGTGATTTCCATAGAGATCACGACCATACCACAGAAGATTGTCTGGCCTTAAAGCGGGAAATCGAAGCTCTTATAAGAAGAGGATTTCTGAGCTCTTACATTAACAATGACAAACGCCCGAGGAATAACCAGAATGGGGGAAAAGGCCCAGAGGATCGGGGAAACAAGCAACCAACTGCAGGCACTATCAATATCATTGTCGGAGGAACAGCCTCGGGAGGAGACTCTAGCAGTGGGCGAAAACAGTATGCCAGACAGCCACCAATCATCTCAAGACCAGATCTTGGTCGTACAGAGGACATCAGTTTTGGAATGGATGACTTGGAAGGCATAGCATTCCCCCATGATGATGCCCTTGTCATATCGGCCATCATCACCAACTTTGAAGTCAAGAGAATTCTGGTAGATAATGGAAGTGCAACAAACGTACTGTCTCACGAAGCTTTTGTTCAAATGGGGATCTCGTCAGAACAACTAAAGCTAGTGAAAACACCCCTGCAAGGGTTTGGAGGAGGGGTCATCACCCCAGAAGGTATCGTCGGGTTACCCTTAACATTGGGAGCCGAAGGTAAGCAGGTAACGCAGATCACTACCTTTGAAGTCGTCCGTACTCCGATGGCTTACAACGCCATATTGGGAAGACCAATGCTCAACAGAATTCGAGCTATTGTCTCAACTTTTCACCTGGCTATGAAATTCCCTACTCCTAATGGCATCGGGGTAGTCCGGGGCAACCAAACGGTGGCCCGACAGTGTTATGTGATCAGCGTTCGAAAAATCAAAAATGACGTCATGCAAGTTACAGAGCTCGAGCTCAAGCACGAAAATTACGGAAGGCTGGCTCCAGTAGAAGGATTGGAGGAGGTCGAGATCGAGCCCGGAAGAAAAGTGACAGTTGGTCGGGGGTTAGATGCAGAGATCATGGCTGAACTTTTAAGCTGTCTCTCCCGAAACATTGATGTATTCACTTGGAATGTTGAGGACATGCCTGGAATTGATCCAGATGTTGCAGTACATAGACTTAACGTGAACCCGGAAGCAAGGCCTGTGAAGCAAAGGAAGAGGCAGTTTGCACCGGAAAGACGAGAAGTCATAAAAGAGGAGATTACCAAACTCCTTAATGCACAGTTCGTTCGAGAGGTACAATATCCTGAATGGCTTGCCAATGTGGTTCTTGTCAAGAAAGCTAATGGAAAGTGACGAGTTTGCATTGACTTCACAGATCTGAATAAAGCATGCCCCAAAGACAGTTATCCCCTGCCCAGAATTGACAATCTCGTAGATAGCACGTCAGGTCATATGCTGTACAACTTCTTGGATGCTTTCTCGGGGTATCACCAAATTCTCATGGCAGAAGAAGATCAAGAGAAGACCTCATTCATGGCAGATTCAGCCATCTACTGCTACAGGGTCATGCCCTTTGGTCTGAAGAATGCTGAAGCAACATATCAAAGGTTAGTGAACAAGATCTTCGCCAAGCTAATTGGGAAAACAGTCGAAGCGTATGTGGATGATATGGTGGTCAAGAGCAAACAGTCGAGTAGCCATGTTTCTGATCTAGAGGAAGTGTTTGCTATGTTACGGAGGTACAACGTGAAGCTCAACCCGGCAAAATGTGCATTTGGGGTGGCATTTGGAAAATTCCTGGGTTTTATGATCACGCACAGAGGAATAGAGGCAAATCCCGATAAAATCCAAGCTCTGATAAGTATGGAGGCCCCTAAATGCAAAAGGGACATTCAGAAGTTGACAGGTCACATAGCAGCACTAAACAGGTTTGTTTCCCGGGCAGCTGATAGGTGCTCCCCTCTTTCAAACTATTTAGGGGAAATAAAGGGTTCGACTGGAACGAGGAATGCAACTTAGCTTTTCAGGAGCTTAAACAGACATTATCAACGCCTCCAGTCCTTACTAAACCCGAACTCGGTGACACGCTGCTATTATACTTGGCAGTTTCTCAGAATGCAGTAAGCGGTGTCTTAGTAAAGGAAAAAGGAAGAGTTCAGCAACCTATCTACTATGTAAATAAAGTGCTCCTCGATGCAGAAACACGATACACACTTGCGGAACAGCTCGCCCTTGCTTTAGTAGTGGCTGCTAGAAAATTACGGCCATACTTCTAGTCACATCCAATTGTTGTGCTCACCAACCAACCTCTCAGACATATACTTCAGAAGCCGGACGTCTCAGGAAGACTGCTGAAATGGGCAATTGAACATGGCGAATTTGATATAGAATTCAAGCCACGGCCTGCAATCAAGGCCCAAGCTTTGGCCGACTTCATAGCAGAGCTCACTCCGAGATCCTCAGAAACACCGGCCGGGAACCCGAACTCGACCTCAGGAATATGGGAAATTTTTGTTGACGGAGCATCCAATAGCTCGGGCTCGGGGGCCGGCATTATTATCACAAGTCCATACAAGTTTACAGAGATACAATGCGCTCTCAGATTTGAATTCCAGGCTACCAATAACGAAGCAGAGTACGAAGCCGTTGTTATTGCCCTAGAACTAGCGAAAAATCTTGAGTGCGAGCACGTCAAAGTTTTCAGTGACTCATAGCTAGTGGTCGCGCAAATCGAGGGGTCTTTCGAAAGAAAGGATGAAAAAATGAGCTTATATTGTTTGAAAGTACATGACCTCCAGAGGCAGTTCATAAGTTGTGAAATTCTGAAAGTAGCCAGAGCCGAAAATGCCAAAGCCGATGCATTATCCAGACTCGTCTTCATGGGTGTTGACGGGCTCGATAGAACCGTACACATCAAGATGGTTGCAGAACCAAGTATAGCCCAGAAACCAAGTATCATGGACATCGACCATGAGCCCTCCTGGATGGATCCAATAGTTGATTACATAAGTAATGGCAACATTCCTGCAGACCCTCGGCTTGCCCGAAGCATTCGGTATAGAGCTGCTAGATATTGCATAATCGAAGGAGTCCTGTTCCGCAGAAGTCTTACACTCCCTTATCTAAGGTGTCTCAGACCCTCCGAGTCCCTTCAAGCAATGACTGAAATTCACGAAAGCATTTGTGGGAATCACCAAGGAGCCCGAGTTCTGGCACATAAGTTGATAAGGTATGGATACTACTGGCCAAGTCTGAAGAAAGATGCCACAGATTACGTCCGGAAGTGCGAAAAGTGCAAAGTTTTGGCAACATCATACATACTCCTGCTGAGGAACTGACATCCATTCACTACTCAGCTCCCTTCGAGCAATGGGGAGTTGATATTCTTGGGCCTTTTCCCTTGGCCCGAGGACAATTAAAATTTGTAGCTGTGGCAGTGGAGTATTTTACAAAGTGCGTAGAAGCAGAACCTGTAGCAACAATTTCAGAACCGAAGCTCAGATCATTTATATGGAAGTTCATCATATGCAGATTCGGGATACCAAAAGTCCTCACCACAGATAATGGAAGACAATTCGACAATCCCCAGTTCAAGAACTTCTGCGCCAGCAATGGGATTGATCATCGCCTGACCTCGATCTCACACCCACAAAGTAATGGATTAGCTGAAGTAACTAATCGAATCATATTGCAGGACCTTCGAACAAGGATAGGGGACGCCAAAGGTGACTGGCCTGACATGCTACCTTCGATACTGTGGGCATATAGGACTTCACACAAGTCAGCAACTGGTGAAACGCCATTCATGCTTGCTTTTGGACTTGAGGCTACCATTCCAATTGAGGTTAGCCTCCCCACAATAAGAAAGCTCGAGACAAATAAAGAGACACAAACTACCGAACATCTCGACTTACTTGAAGAGGTAAGGGAGCAAGCTTCCCTTAGGACTGCAAGTTACCAAAACAGAACGGCAAAGCACTTCAACAAGAAGGTCAAGAATAGGAGATTTAGAGCCAGCGATCTTGTCCTAAGGAAAGCAGAAGCAGCCGGGCACCAACCAGGGAAACTTGGGCCGACATGGGAAGGACCCTACGAGGTCATAAGAAAACTTAAAGGGGGAGCCTATAGCCTCAGAGATACATCAGGGAATCCACTCCCAAGGCCATAGAACGCCAACAATCAGAAAATATATTACAAGTGATTAGCTATAGCTATAATTTTCCTTTAGGGCTTGCATGCCCGCTTCATGTTTTCTTAATTTCGTTTTTACTTTTCGGGCTCTAATGCCCAGTTAGCTCATGCTCAAATAAGCTCGGGTATGCAACGCCCTTAAGCCTTTTAAATAACACAAGAAGTTTCTTTATGATATTGATCCCCTATTAAATTAGCGTAAAGCCGTGCCCCGCGCATGCAGCTAATATCTTTATTAAATTAGCATAAGGCCATGCCCCGCGCATGCAGCTAATACCTTTACTAAATTAGTGTAACGCCGTGCCCCGCGCATGCAGCTAATATCTTTAGTAAATTAGCATAAGGCCGTGCCCCGCGCATGCAGCTAATACCTTTACTAAATTAGCGTAAGGTCGTGTCTCGCGCATGCAGCCAATACCTTTACTAAATTAGCGTAATGCCGTGCCCCGCGCATGCAGTTAATACCTTTACTTACATTAGCGTAAGGCCGTGCCCCGCGCATGCAGCTAATATCTTTACTAAATTATGCATGCAGCTAATACCTTTACTTAAATTGGCGTAAAGTCATGCCCTGCGCATGCAGCTGATACGTTTACCAATCCCACACACGACCTCAAGCTGTTATGGGTTGAGCATATAAGCCCGACCTCAGAATGGCGTGAAACGAAATAATCTTTAGCTCGAGGTCGGGTCATAATGCATATGCACGCGTACAGTTATCCCCAACCTTAAAAGATCTCTAAATGCTTGGCTATGCATGAATTTTAAGATCGAGGTCGGGTCAATATTATTATAGTTGCCCCCAACACTACCGAACTTGGATGTTGGGATCAACCCTTGATATGAACAAGAATTAAACACTAGTGCACAATCTAGTTCCCCCAAAGGTACACCACTGAACTTAGATGTTGGGATCAACCCTTGATATGAACAAGAATTAAACACTAGTGCGCGATCTAGTTCCCCCAAAGGTACACCATCGAACTTAGATGTTGGGGTCAACCCTCGATATGAACAAGAGTTCAACACTAGTGTGCGATCTAATTTCTCCCAAAGGTACGTCACTGAACTCAGAAAAAGACACCCGAAATACTCCACGCGCACGAGCTATAAGTTTAAAGACTAGGACACATTCACTAACAACCGAACTCTAAACTCTAATGAAAACTCGAATTCAAAATTACAATACAGGATCAACACACGATCTGAATAATAAAATGCATGAACTGATAAAATTCCCATTAAAAGATAGAGGCCCAGTTCGAGCAATAAACTTGCATGTATTTAAAACCAAAGTAAGTACATAAGCCCAGATCGGGCAGACAACATTAGCAAAAGAAAAATTATTACAAAAATGTCAAACATGGGGTCGGGAAGGGTCTAGTCTAGGTCAATATGGTCACTACCCCCTCCATTGTCGGGGGTTCCAGCATCGTCATCATCATCGTCCCCATCACCCTCGGAGGAGGATAGCTCAAGGTCCTTAGCGAGCTCGTTCACGGTCTTTAACTCCTCCACTATAGGCTTCAAATCCTCGGGGAGCTTCGTCCTAAGGAATGACCGAGCTAGCCGCAACCCATAGTAGTACGAGCCAGACCCATACTGACCCAGGAGAGTTTTGAACTCGTCGGACTTCTTGAAGTCATCAATGGCCTGAGCTCGGGTTTCAGTTCGAACCTGCGCAAGCTCCGCCTCAAAAGAGCTTCGCGAGTGAATAAGCTCGAGCTTCGCCTCCTCTGCTTCGCCCCTTGCAAACTCGACCTCTTCCTCCGCCTTCTTGAGGTCCGCCTTGGCCGCCTCCAGGGCCTTTTCAAGCTCCTTGGCCCTCTTAAATGCAACCTCGCTCTTGACTTCAAGCTCGGCTATGCGATCTGAAGAATTCAAACCCTTCAGTCCAAGACCCCGAGCGACGCTGAGTGTCTGCAAAAACATGTATGAAGCCTGATGTTAGTACAAATTACGAAACCGATCAGGGCTACACGAGCATTCATATTAAAAACGTACCTTCAGTGTAAGGAGCTCTAGGGTCCGAACTCCTTCGTTTATATCGACCACATTCTCATATTTATCAACTATGCCCTGAATGAGAGCACAGTCGGCGTACTCCTCGAGCGATTTCGTGGGCATATGGTCGTCATCATCAGCTAAGAGGTCCGACCCATCACAAAGGGTGCGAGCTCGGACTTCTTGTTGAGGGATCGGCTACTTCGGAGGGGTCGGGTTTTGTGACCTCTGCCCCAAATCCACCATGGTTGGACGGGCGGCCTCCCGTGCCCGCTTCTTCTCCTTGGATGAAGCCGTTGTCGGGGCTTTTGATTTCGGGCCCTTGGCCTTTTTATGAACATTGTCCAAGAGGGCTGATGGATCGAAAGACATCTCAAATTCTACAAGCAAAAATTTAAAGGCATTAGCTCGAACTATAGATCGATGATTATCCATGAAATATCAAATAATGCATAAAAAGAAAGATCGTACCCTCGAGGCCTTTCACGGTAGCAAGGTCGAGGGTGTCATCTTCAAGCAAGAAATCGATCTTGTCTGCAAGGGGGTCGTGGTTCACTAACCTCGGCCTATCTCTCTCTAAAACCTCAAAATAGGCCTGACCTTCGTTAAACCTATCTTTATTGGGGATTTCCCGCCTTGGGCAAAAGGGATGATCGAGGTCTTGAGGTTTCACAAAAAAGAAACGTTCCTTCCAACCTCGAAGTGAGCTCGAGGTATCAGGAGTTCTAAACCCCCCCTTTTGTTGATAAATAAACAAAACAGTTATACCCCGGGGAAAGTTTCATATCAAACACCATTCGAAGTAGGTCGACCCTAGGCTCAACCTTGAGGCATCTACATAGTATGAAGAAATATACTAATAACCTCCAACCATTCGGGGCTAGTTGACCCGGACACAGGTAGTATGAGGTCAGAAAATGAATGAAAAATGGGTGAAGAGGCCACCTAAGCCCGGCCTTAAGAGCATCCCTAAAAAAGGTCATCTCCTCCTCTGAGCTCCTAACACGGTCTCAGTTGGCCCTGGGGTTCTAATATCGCAAAATGGCATGACCCTGAACTCTCTAGCTATTTTAATAATTACATGTTCTTTGTACTTGGTCGGTTCCTTGGGGTAGGTCAGGACGTCGCTATGGGAGTTAACGGGGATGGCCATAGGTATAATGAATGTATTTACATCTTCAGGCCTATCACTATGGTTCGAGTCCCTAGGAGCCTGATTACTGTCACTACTACTTGACCATGTGCTATCACTACTCGACATTATGCTATAATCAAATAAAACAACTTAAGGGCTCGAACTCTTACCTCTGTGGATAGTCGCTCACAAACCCTACTAATCCCCGAACTCGAGCTCGATTTACTGGGAGTTGAGAGTTAAAAGTGAAAAAATGAGAGTGAAAATTGGGATATTTATCGGGGACTGAGGAATACCAACGGTCATGCAATCTCACCCCTTGGACCAAGACACGTGGCGAGAATCTAAGGTCGTGCTCTGACATTACACATGGCAGCCATCTGAGATCGTTCTCTGACATCCCATCAAACACTCGACACGTGGAGAAACATCTGGACGTTCATGCCTCTACATCTTCGCTCGTAAACCAGAATGAAACGGCATCTACGACCTCGATGCACGGGGGCCAGTGATGATTCTAGATCTAGTTAGAACTGAACTCAACCACTTGACCCCGACCATATCATGCAACCCCGACCTTATCATCCTCAAAAAACACCAAAACAAGGTCGGGCATTTAAGGTCGGGTATTTGTGTGTCGACTCGTCAATCTTCATATGTGACCTGTGGAAGTACTAATTCTACCTTGAACACAATCCCTACCTTGTTAAACTCCTTCTTTGACTCAGACAGTGATTTGAATACTTGAGGTGAAACACCAACTCCTTTTCCTACGAGGAGAAGGATTGTGGCATAATAAGTCCTCCTAGGACTCCACCGCTGACACCTATAAATACACAACCTGTGCTCATTGCAAAGGTACGTTCTTCATTATTATCCTCAATTTATAGCCTCATGCATAAAATTTCCTGTCTGACTTAAGCATCAGAGGGGCGACGAGCACACACCTCGTTGCCTTTATTTCAGGTACTGGAATGCGCAGTTCGTGTTCCATCTGAGTCATCAAGCTCGAGATTTTCAGGTGATATTTTTCGGTAGCATCAGGATTCAATCTTTTTTTTTTTTTTTTTTTTTTTAAAGAAGAATCACAAACTTTACGGTCATTCTAAAATTAAGCATGAGCCGAGTAAAGAGTTCAGCTCCCTTTATGGATTGTAATTCCAATTTTTCTATAAAAAAAAGTTGTGCAAAATTCACTAAAGCCCATTTGAACAAAGAAATGGTAGTCACTGGAATTTGAACATGCCATCAGGGGCGGATTCATGCCCGCACTGAATTTGGGGCCGCCCCATTTATCACAGCCCACTTAAAAAATGAAAATGGGCCAAATAATTGGCCGAAATATTATAAAATAGGTGGATGCCGTTGATCTACACAGTACAAACCCTTCCATAATCCATTCCAACTCCCCCACTAAACCTCACTCACGTCCCCACCGAAACCTAAAACATTTGGATGAAACCCCCAATTTCCACCAAAACAATAAGGTCGCAAATTAATGAAATCGATGAAATTGAAGCAGTGAAGCCATGGATGTCAATTAGAGCAGGTAATAATCGTATAATTTTTTGTAATATTCGTCTCCTCTTCATCTATTGTTTCAGAAAAGAATAATATAATAATGTGTCCCTACTCGTTTTTTTTACCTTTAATAATATTGTTCGACTAGAAAAATTTCGTGGATCCGCCCTTGCATGCTATGCCATGCCTAGATCATCTATACAAACCGTCACCACTCTATTTTTCACATTTGTTTTCGAAGACATCAATTATAAGAATGATCAAACTAGTCTTAATCAGTTTAGCTAGATTAATCAATTCTATTAATTTCGCTGTTT